ATGCCGAGTGCATAATACTTTTTATATTTGTTCTCCAGATGTTTGGTCTAGCTTGGGATGACATATCTTCGTTATTGACATCCAAATGGAAATCAAAGGCTAGATCTGCATAATCATTTCTGTCCAGGGATGACATATAGTGGAGTTTGTGAAGTCATTCTCATAATGGGCTAATATGAGATCTAGTAAGGATTGAAGATGCCACAGGCGTTTGGGGTTTGACAACTCTTTGACCAGTAACACCTCCTATTATGAATCGTACCCACAAAATGAAATCAAGAGACAGAAGCGAGGAGGTTCGAAGATATATTTGATAGGCTCTCAATATATCGAGGATCGACTGATCTAGACTGGCTAGCGATTACACGAGAAGTTGACCACAGCATTCCTACTCGTCATCTGGTGCGGATGCATGACCGGGCGCCTTCATCAGCTAGGCGATTCCATTAAAACTGATATGGTCAGGATCCAATGTCGAAGGCTTACAGAGCTATTTATTTTGGGGATTTATTTACCGCTATAGAGTGATTCAGAGTCCGGGCCGCACCTAGTCGCTTCTCCCACATGTTGCACTAGGGCATACGTGATAACCTCAGCAACTAGTTTTTGTTCGAAAGAATTTTGTGACAATTCAGTCCTCAGATTTTTCAAGCCCATCGTATGTGCATTAAAGCCTCCTAAAATTTAACGTCGACCACTTGATCACCAAGTGTTGAGACTGTCCAACAAGGCCTCATTTACCTCGTAGATTGGACCGCAACAGACCAAATCAATCAGCAGTTCTTGCCCTTTCCATTTCAAGCGGCAACTAACTAATTCGAGCATCACACTTTCATGGGATATGTTATCAATAACGGTATATGGGATAGTATTTCTGATTAATAGCTACTGTTCCTCCCTTATACTTCTGGGTTCTGTTGGCTCTTCCTAATGCGAAACTATCAAGTTTCCGTGACTGCGATTGCATCCGGATTGGTAGAGTTTATCTATACATTTAGCTCCGATCTCTTGTTGAGCGAGCTCCAGGCATTTATGCAACAGAACAGAAGACCGACTCAATTGCTTCATGATGCACCCAAAGTGGCTTCGTCATCATTCTTTGTCGAAACCTCAACACATCCGAAAATTTATAATACCAAGGTCCTTCTTGTCAGCTTCCGACCCTAGTTTCGGCTCTTTTTCAGCTTATCGTCTTTTTATGCGGTCCGCGATCGGCGAGTCTTTACGGACAAAAACCATTGACCCCTCCAGTTTACGTCCATTCTGTAGTATTAAGGCCCCTTACGTTGGGAGATCTCAATACTAATTTTAACAGCCATGGACTTGATTCTGTATTAAGGCCATTTGGCTGCCTTGTATATAAAAACTTAGCAAAGTGACTTTAGATATATCCTGAGGCATTAGCTGGTTTAGTAGCTTTTTTATAAACTCAATGTCATGCTGGAAACGAGTCCTAGGTTCTGAGCTTTCACTCTCCTTGGCTCAATGAAAGACAACTAACCTGTCACTATGGTCAGTCTTCAAATTCTCAGCTACCCTTTGGGGGAATGTCTTTTCTTTAGCAACATTACATCTTTTCTTATTCTTGATCTGTAGTGTCAATCATTATTTTAAGCCTATATATCTTATTCTAGCTTTTGGACAAACCAATCTATCCATTCTACTTGAGTCATATGTTGACCTTGTCAATTATTCGCTTGTCAGTCTTGATTGTTTTTATTTGAGCGTATATGTGTGTGCCCTTCTTATTCCATTAATCACATGTCTGTAGCTTTATTTTGTCTGACTATAAATATTGAGTAACGCTTGACTAAAATGGAGTTGGCTTCTCAGCCATCTTCCATACGTGTCATTTTGCTCTACTCTTTTATTCGCTTCATATTCGAAATATATGTATTCATAAGTCAATTCTCGTTATTCGACTTATTTAATTCCGTTACTGACTAACACGATTCAAGTCGACGATGATATACGAGAATAGGTGATAACAATCATTTATACGATCTTGGAGTCAGATCCATGAGACACCAAATTTGGTGAGCCCTTCAACGAGCATCTTCCGGTCTAAACGAAGATAAAATCAAAATGACGGGTTTCGAAAATTGGTAAGCCCGCTGACGACGAACGCAACGCAGCAAGCTACGTCGATGAAGGAACTTCCGCACTCTATACGTTCGACGAACAAATTCAGCAAAGCCAGCGCAATATCCAATCCGACGCAATCAGCAAAGCCTGTGCATCATGGTATGGACATGCTCAAGTCGTATTATCTTATCGATACTGTGTACTCATGTCTACCATTCTCATTGATCCATTCATCGGTTTGTTTAATTACGATTCAAATTATCATTATATGCTTATCGTTACACTATTGTCAATATCATGACCGAATGTGGAATTATTAATCTTGTGCGTGCTATCATTAAATTATGACATTTTCGCAATCATATCACTCACCGAACAAATTATCATTTTATGAAAATTCCACTCCGCGTAATGACATCCAGAACTCATTGGGATATTTTTACTATTCAAAACATGGAATTTTCCTGCTTTAAGTGAGTTCGTTCCAATTCTTTTTCCATGTTATTTTCATTTAATATTACATTCATTCACTTAGTCGAGGTCATTATTTTATGTCATCATTTGGAAATCGCCTCCTATTATGTCTGTGGATGCCTCTAACTAGCTGACTAGAAACCATTACGTTCATCTTATCTGTTCTTCCACATGCATAACTGCAAGCTGCATCATTTATCAACCAAGAACGTTATTGGAGTACTGCAACTACTATTCCATACCCATCGCACTGTATATCAGAACATAGAGTTTAGAGCTAGTCTCTCAAAGATACACTCTTGTTCGTGACATCCAAGTCAGTCTCATACGTCGCCATCACTAATCATATGTATTGGTATTTTTGTCATGCCTTGGTACGGTTTTGTAACAAACGAGGTCGACCGCATCTCCCTCAAACCACACAAACCACTCTAGGCTTCATTACCAAAAAGGAATACGACTCTACGTACCTCGTCTACTCAGTCACTATTCTGTTCCTCTGGTCATTCTACTAATACATATTTAACGATAACTCAATGCATCTGTCATAACGCAGATGACAACATTCACTGACTTCACATTTTATGATTATTATGAATTGCAGTACAGCAACGAATATCACCAGTCGATGCAGTTATCATTTCACGACTTCAATATTATTATTCTACGAACGGGAACTACGCATTTGAATTCGAATTCACTCGTCGCTAGTCGATGCTATTTATTCTGCTGCGGCTCAACAGAACATATATTTAACATATTTCACTATTTTGTCAGCATCACAGACCAATTTCTGTCATATTCTACTGTACTCATTTTGATGATTTATTTCCCTGTTATACCCACAAACAATTTATTATTATTTTCACGATATTTTGAATCGCTCATACAAACTTGCTATTTTATCGTCCAGACAATCAGCATTATTAGATGTTAATTTTTTGTACGCTCATTAATTTGCCCATATTCATATGCTAACATTTCCATTTTGTCCGCGCCTTTTCTATATTCATGTATTCTTTTACATAAGCACGACATCTTCGTAAAATACACTCACCGCTCATGTGACACTGTACTTTATCGAGTGTTGTACAATTTTTTTCCGCTACTTTTTGTTAACGTTAACTACGCACCTTTTCACTGTTATTTTCGAGAACAGACATTTTTTAAATGTGCTATTTTCTACGAGAGGCCTACGTAGTGTCAATCATTATTTTAAGCCTATATATCTTATTCTAGCTTTTGGACAAACCAATCTATTCATTCTACTTGAGTCATATGTTGACCTTGTCAATTATTCGCTTGTCAGTCTTGATTGTTTTTATTTGAGCGTATATGTGTGTGCCCTTCTTATTCCATTAATCACATGTCTGTAGCTTTATTTTTTCTGACTATAAATATTGAGTAACGCTTGAATAAAATGGAGTTGGCTTCCCAGCCATCTTCCATACGTGTCATTTTGCTTTGCTGTTTCATTCGCTTCATGTACAGAATATATGTATTCATAAGTCAATTCTCGTTATTCGACTTATTTAATTCCGTTACTGACTAACACGATTCAAGTCGACGATGATATACGAGAATAGGTGATAACAATCATTTATACGATCTAAATAAGAGTCAGATCAACGGGCCACCAAAGATCTGTACCCATCCATCAACTTTCCTTGGAGTAGGGATCACAGTCGCTTTACACACATTGAGGGGCTCTGGATGCCTATCGATAAATTGAGTATTTGTGTTTTTGCTTTCCTGCTAGAAAAAGACCTGGGCTTGCGACCAGGCTTTCTAGACGTTTCTTTCTCACTGCCATTCGGAGGACGTGGGACAGAAGAAACTTGCTTTCTTTAGCTTTTATTCCTAACGGATCTTTTTATAAGCCGTCCTTCATCCTTTTTCCCACGTAAGTCAATCGACATTTTGCTTGTTTGGGTTAGCGTCACGTTAATTTGTATATCGAGCGGGCGAGTACCGTTTGATTTGTCTCAATTAGGATTGTCAATACGCTGTCTATCAGCATTCTCCATTGCAATTGCTTTGGATAGCAAGCTGTTCGCTTTCGAGCAAGACTACTGACACAACCACATTTGACCATTTTTACTAAACTATTTGAGAGCCTCAGACGTTAGATTCGTGCAAACTTCATGGTACTATGCATACTGTTATAAAATGCTTGGTATGAGTATACTCCACAAAGAATTATCAGCCGCAGAAGTCCTAATATCTCATGTGCTTTTCTCAGGCAGGTCTCATATCTATCTCAACTGGTAAATTGTCGCTATAACATAATATCGCTGAAAATTTGTCCTATAACATGTATCAGTACGGTGCTATCACTTTTGTTACCTGAAGGATGGAGGCTATCAGACATAATGTGGCTGAACTCAAATTTAAATTGTCTTAGTTTGACCGCTTCTGAAAAGCTTTCCGAATTTTCGAGGTGGCGCTTCAATCGTTTTCGGCAGTTTGACCTTCAAGTGATCAGTAACCTTCATCGATGGACGATGTGGTTATGATTACCCCTTCATATAACTTCGTCAAATCAATCCACAGGTCGCTATCGGAAACAAATAATATCTCTTATCTTAAACTTCTTACAGGTTCTATTGACTTACTATACTTATTTTTAAGATTCTCTACTGGTTCTTGATGTTGGTCAAGAGTTTTCGTTAACGTTTGCGGATAATCATGGTTTGAAAGTCATCTTTTTGGATACATTTGTTGAATGGACCTGTCAATTCGCATCTTCATTTCCTGCTTCCCTCAGTGACAACACTGGAGGGATCCGCATGGCTGGAATAGTCAATGACATAGTAATGGAGACGCTTGCCTTTATTAATGACATTACAAATGAATTGAAATTGGGATATTCCAAAGTACCTAAACCCCTGATGGATTTTTCAAATCACCTGAAGTTTTTGATGGTACGCCTTTACATTATTTCCCAAATTACTAATTGCCAATATTTTTGATCTAAAAGTATATTAGGGGTAGAACTATATTACATCGGTAGCCTTGCTTGACCACTCGGAATGAATTGGGTCGACGCACAAATTGTAGAGGTTGTCATGCTAAGCTTTTTGCTGAAACTCGCGGTTTTCATTATATTTCATATATCTATTGATTAGGTGATGATTTGCTTGTGGTAGGAACTTTTATAGTCAGTATATTAGGTTTTAGGTTGTTAAGACTAGGAGTGTTGAAGTTAAGAGTTTAACAGTTTATGTCAAGATTACACCGTACTGATGACCTACCGCGAGTTTGTCAGTAGCCTTTATTCTGGCCGATCAAAAATAATCAATCAATGCTGTTTTCATATGAGAACTCCGAAATATGTCAAAACGAATAAATCGTAGGGGGTTAGGTGGACTTGATAGTGTCAAATATCGATTTTTCAGGTTAAATATCTTAGCTTTGTAATAAAGACAGACCCCGATTCTCGGCTCTACATCTAAAAACACCGGAACTGATGTTACCAATAGGACTATACTTAGGTGATTAATCAGGATTAAGCTAACCAGTGCGCGAATTTGGAATTCTTGCAACTAAACTCTTGGTTTTCATTATATTTCCTATTTCGAAAAGGCTGGGTGGTGGTTTCCTCGTGGGATAAATTGTTAAGGTCAGTATGTTTGGGCTATCAGTGTTAAGATGAGGATTACTAGGATTAGGCGTTAGGTTTAGTAGCTTCAGGGTTAGAAGTTGGGTTTTGTTAGATGTAAAGCTAAAAATTATGGTGTCCTAATCACAGGACTGATATCTAGTCTGTATGATCGTTATTTAGCACCAGTAAGTCCATTATTGATTTTAAAACATCGTGTCCTCATTTTTATCGCTTCACTATATTCTGAGCGGTTACAAATAATCTGCCTTCCGGTTGACTGGTCTCAAGGTCACTCCTTGCATTTGGTGGTCTTTGCTATAGTACAGTCTTACCGTGTTCGGTTGGGAGTTAGAGCCAGGAAGTTTTAGTGTTGATTTAGCTCTTAAAAGACTTAAGGCAAAGGGTTAGTACTTTTTCTGATCAGATAACTATGACCTACAACCTATTGCTATTTAGCACTAATGAGTTGACTGATATCTTTGGGTATTCTAATCCTTCGTAATTTTACCATTTTTCTGTAGTTTAGGGCTCTTGTGTGTAAGTAGCACTCTTATAGCTTAACCCCAAGGTCGCCATTGAATTCACTTAAGGTCATCGGCATAGTATAGTTTCACCGGCCTAATTTTAAGGATAGTTACTGACGGCATTATAATCTAAGTGGAACTATCATTATCCTGTTAAAACGTCACATTCCTAGTGCACCAACATCACTACCTGTGTTGTTCAAACTGAAATCCTCACTTTATACTATTCATTGTATTCGGACATATCTTACTTTTCACTTCTCGATGGATTCACCCCAGTTTGGACTAATAACTATTGCTTAATAGTTGTTAAAAGTCAATGGCATGGTAATTCTCATCTCAATATTACGTAGTGTTTTGAACTATTAAGCCGAAGATTGACCTTTGGGAGGAATTTCAGTTGAAAGTGGGTATAGATTTCTGTTTTTTATTTACAGGACAGTGACTCGAAAAATAAAAACACAATCTAATGACATTACTAGGTATCATGTCTCAAAATAATGTGCCGCAAAATGCATTATACGTGATTGGTTGTTCAGGTTATCGTTCGTGTCGTTAATTTGATATTTCTGTAACTAACTTCATATACTCCTCATGTTTGTTTTAACCTTGTGCATTGAGAATGCAAAGCTTTTATGTAAAATAGGTGAATATAATACATGTCTATCCATTGCTTCGGATTACTGCAACTGTTACGCTGTATAGTATCGCTAACACAAAACTTGTTTCCTTGCCTGAAAACCACCTGCTTCGGTTTGGGCACCCGGGCAGTATCACAGCCCTCACATATATCGAATGAGATTTTTGTGGCGCATATGTATTTGGTGCCTCCTTGTACCAACATCTGTGTGTTAAAATAAAATAATAATGCCTGAAAACCAAGCCACATTAGTCTTCGTTTAATTTCGAGAGTCGTAGGTGCATGCGTTTTTTGGACTGATACTTCACATATTAAACATATAAACCCCCCTGAATGCCCTGGTACGGCCGAGAGTGGGGAGAGTCCGCTCTCCCTCTCGAAATACTCTCACACGGCCACGCGTATACAGCCTCTGCCAGGGAAGTCCTACTCATTGCCTTCTCGTGGCGGGGGTGTTGTTTACGAAAATGAGAGGACGAAAAGCGAATGTCCGGCGCTTTAACCGGATTCCAAATCAATGGTGCACATGGGCTCCAGTATCCTGCGGGTACGAATGGCGTATGAACCAATCGTTGGTCACCGGCTACCATGGGACTGCATCTCCTTACGATGCTCCACTGCCTTGTGGGTTAGACCTTTAGGTCAAAGGCTCGGGGAGTGGCCCCCTAAGATAACCACCTGCTTCGGTTTGGGCACCCGGGCAGTATCACAGCCCACACACAAATTGATGAACTCTTTATGCCTATGGAAATTACCTTTCTCGCTTTGAAAAACAAACAATTGATTCAGATTATTATCATTACAATTATTGTCATTATTAATACTAATATTATTATTACTACTATTATTGTCATTATTGTTATTATTATCATTATTATTATTATTTTCCACATTATTCACCCTCCCTTGTACTTATACAGCGGCTCGTCTTTGGTGGAAATCCGACTGTATCTAAACGTTCTCGAGTCACTGTCCGGTTGAAAATTGTATGTTACCACCGAATATGAGTACTGAAGCAGTTTTTCTGAAACCACGTGCACCATTCAAACTGGCTGCCTTCAACGTTCGCACATTTATGCAGGTCGGACAACAGATAGGGCTGGCTATGTCTTTGGAAAGTCTTAATATTGATGTTTGTTGTCTATCCGAGACCCGTATTCAAGACTCTGGCGAAGTACTACAAATTCGCTCTCCATCTGTCGCTTCGAAAAGCTTGTTTTACGTGCGCTTATCCGGGGACCCTGTGGCATCTTCGTCTGGTCTTGCTGGCGTTGGTGTCGCACTAAGCTCTAGAGCTGAGGCAGCACTAGTCGATTGGATCCCCATTAACAGTCGGTTATGTGCTGTTAGATTAGAAAGTTCCATCAAAGTCAGGAGAAATCGGAGTGAGAAACGATGTCTTTTCGTCATCTCCGCCTATGCCCCGACAGATTGCAGCCCGGATGCAATCAAGGATGAGTTTTACCACCAGTTATCAGTTCTTCTCCAGAAAGTGCGTTCGACAGATATTGTAGTACTAGCCGGAGACTTGAATGCTCAGGTCGGGCGTCTAGGCACAGAAGAGAGTCGTTTAGGTGGCCGATGGGGACTCGTTGGTCGCAGGTCAGATAACGGGGACCGTCTACTGCAACTTTGCACAGACCACAACCTGTTTCTGGCTAGCACTAACTTTCGGCACAGTCATCGCCGATGTGCCACCTGGCGTCCTCCCTCTGCATCTCAAGCCTGGACTCAGATTGATCACATCGCGATCAGCTACCGCTGGCGTGGTTGTGTACAAGACTGCCGCTCCTTTTGGAGTACCTATCTGGACTCTGACCATGCCTTGGTCTGCGCCAATCTTGCCTTACTTTTCAGTGGCCAACGAAGTGACCACCACCAAAAGATTGATGTTAGCAAGCTGGTTGCAACTTCTGTTGCAAGTAAGTATCGAACCGAGCTAGCCTCTAGGCTAGCTACCACTCCACCGAAAAGTATAGATGAGCATTGGTTGCAATTGCATGACGCCATGAAAATGGCGGGAACAGTCAGTTGTGGGTTTGCGAAACGTCCCGCTTTTAAGCACTGGGTTTCTTCTGGTTCCTTACAACTCATTGAAGCCCGTCGGTCTACTCCGGGTGACCGTGAGTTTGACCATAAACGAAGGATATTACGTAAGGAAATCGGGCAAAGCTTGCGTAAGGACCGAGAAGCCTGGTGGTCGATGCGTGCTAATGAGCTGGAAGCAGCAGCTGCATCTGGTAACTGCCGGAAGCTCTTCCAGCTCATCCGAGCCACTGGCAGCAAGAAGTCTGGTGTGAGTGAAACAATCTGCGAGGATGATGGGATGCCAATCACTAACATCCATCGACGTCTTGGACGATGGGCAGAATTTTTCGAAGGGCAGTTCAACTGGCCTGCTGCTCCGGCAACATCGGTCAGACTGTCCTGCCCTCCATGGCCGGTGACGACTGATCCACCAAATGAGGAGGAAGTCCGCAAGGAACTCCAACTCTTGAAACGTTACAAATCACCTGGCCCAGATGACTTACCTCCGGCTCTTTTTAAAGATGGTGGTGACTTTTTGACTAAGGAATTGACGACGTTGTATACAAAGGTTTGGGAACTAGAGAGTGTACCAACGTCATGGAATGAGTCGATAGTTGTCCCTATCTTTAAAAAGGGTTCACGTCGTTCTTGTAACAACTATCGGGGGATAAGTTTACTTCCGATTGCGTCCAAGCTATTGGCTTCCGTCATTCTTCGTAGGTTGTTCAAAACCCGAGAAAGATTGACTCGCGAGGAGCAGGCTGGGTTTCGTTCTGGTCGAGGATGTATTGATCATATCTTCACCCTCCGCCAAATGTTAGAACACCGCCATACTTTTCAAAGGCCAACAATCGTAGTGTTTCTTGACATCAGGGCTGCCTTCGATTCGTTGGATAGGACTGTTCTCTGGGATTGTCTATTGAAGAAGGGTGTGCCTGAGAAGTTTATTAACATCCTAAAAGCCCTGTATAAATACACCTCAGGCAGAGTGAGGGCATACAACCACCTCTCTCCATTGTTCCATTCGAGCAGTGGGGTTAGGCAGGGTTGCCCAATCTCACCATTCCTCTTCAACTTTGCCATCGATGACATTCTGGAAACAGCTCTGATGAATGTAAGTAATGGTGGTGTGGATCTGTTGCCTGGAGAAAGACTTCTCGACCTTGAGTATGCGGACGATATTGTCTTACTGTGCGATAATGCCCAAGGCATGCAATCCGCACTTAATCAGTTGGCAATCAGTGTCCGTAGGTATGGTATGTGCTTTGCACCTTCGAAGTGCAAAGTACTTCTACAAGACTGGCAGGATTCTAATCCTGTACTCACCCTGGATGGTGAGCAGATAGAAGTAGTCGAGAAGTTCGTGTATCTGGGTAGCTGCATAAGTGCTGGTGGGGGTGTGAGTGATGAGATCAATGCACGAATAGTGAAAGCCAGAGCGGCTTATGCCAATCTGGGCCACCTTTGGCGCCTTCGTGATGTTAGTCTGGCTGTAAAAGGTCGGATCTACAACGCGTCGGTGAGAGCAGTTTTGCTCTATGCTTGTGAAACCTGGCCTCTCCGAGTTGAGGACGTTAGACGACTCTCTGTGTTCGATCATCGCTGTCTCCGAAGGATTGCTGACATTCAGTGGCAACACCATGTCAGTAATGCAGAGGTTCGGCATCGTGTGTTCGGGCACAGAGATGATAACTCAATTGGTGTCACCATCTTGAAACACCGACTTCGGTGGCTTGGACATGTTCTCCGAATGTCGTCTCAGAGAATTCCACGTCGTGCATTATTTGCCGACTCTGGGACTGGTTGGAAGAAGCGGAGAGGTGGTCAGTGCATGACATGGTGTCGTGGCATGAAAGAAAGCTGCAAAGGACTGGCTTGTGTTGGTCCTTCACGACTCCCTGGTTGGGGTCCGAGAGATGGTGCTACACAGTGGCTAGAGACGTTATCAGATATGGCTCAGAATAGAAGCCAGTGGCGATCCTGCTGTAACCTTCTTTTACTTTCTTCATAAAAAGTGGTTGTGTCTCCTTTACCTGAAAGATTTCTTCTGATTGTACCTTTTCGTTCCGTCGTTACTACCACACTACCTTACTCCAATCTCTTCGTCATTGTTCTCTTTTTCTTTTGCGTTCCTTAGTTTTTTTTCTTCTTTCTACTTCTCTTCGAATTCCCATTGTTTTGTGTGGCGCATATATATTGGCGCTCTATTGTACCAATATTTACGTGTTCAAATAAAATAAAACTCATTAGCCTTAACGTAAATATTTTCACGACACTTCTCTTGTGTTGATAGCGCGAAGTACTCCATGTATCCTTCTACAATTACTAGTTATCCGTTAAATGTCCTCACAACCCGATTCCTAGCTGCCTTGGCAATAGATTGCTGTGTTTTTCATATAAGCAGAAATGAGGTAGCACCTGACAGTATTTAATGAATGACTTTAATTGATTTTTCTTCTAAATGCGCAACTTTTATTCGCTCCCGTATGGTATCTAACTGCGTAAGGATTGGTAGTTATTTGTAACAGGTAAGTTTGCCATAACTATTTCAGCTATGCATTATCACTTTAAAAAAACCCAACGGCTCGAACTGTGAAACGTTATCAAAGTCTAATAATTTGACAAAATATTAATACTGCAACCTATCATGACCACAGACCATTGTCTACTTGACCCTGTATAACTGGACAAGAGCTGAAACCACCCGGTGTAAGGAAGAAGGTAAGACTGTAGATGAAGATTTACATATTCATCAACCACAGATCCATAACCGTTTTAAAAACAATCAAAACTACACTGAATAGTGTGTAACCTAGTGACCCGATTAATGAGCTAAGTTAAATATGTTGAACTAGACAGTTAATATAAATTTGTTAACTAAATGTATTTATACGATCTACACTAACAATATATTTGACTGCATTACCTAACAATACAATAAATTACTGAGTTCCATATTTTCTCCTTCCCGAAAAATGTTTATTCATATTTTGAAAAATAATTCTCCACAACTGATTTAATGTTTTTATTTATTTATTTGAACATAAATATTGGTACAAAGAGGCACCGAGTACATATGCGCCACACAAGTCGCTTGATTTGTGTGTGGGCTGTGATACCACTCGGGTGCCCAGACTGAAGCAGGTGGTCTTCTTAGGGTGCCACACCCGGAGCCTTCTATCTAAAGGTCTGATCCACAAGGCAGTGGTGAAACGTAAGAAGATGCAGTCCCATGGTAGCCGGTGGCCAACAGTTGGTTCATATACCGTTTGTTTCCTTAGGATACTGGAGCCCATGTGCACCATTGGTTTGGAGTCGGGGTTTTCCAACTCCTCTATGCGAATCCTCCATATTCACCAACCCAGTTGAAGCACCGGACATTCGCTTTTGGTCCTCTTAATTTCGTAAACAACACCCACACTGTAAGAAGGCAGTGAGTAGGACTTTCCTTGTAGTGGCTGTATACACATAGCCATGTGAGAGCATTTCGAGGAGAGCTGACTCTCCCCACCCTCGGTCGTACCAGGGCATTTGAGGGCGTCGTTTAAGAATAATTTACCTTTGAACCTTAACTGGAGAAATATATATATATATATATATATATATTTGTACTTAATATAGTATGAACAATAACAAGATTTTCGAAGTATATGGTTTATATTCTGTTTATGTAGGATATTTAGATTTTCATCGGCAGTTGTTTGATCTTAAGCCGTTAACTGGTATTTTTTTATTACAACTCGTTCAAAATGTCTGAGGTATCTTAAAATCTCTAAGCTTTTGCTGAGCTCCCACTTCAAATATCTAGGTTATAAAATCACGAAAATATACGGGGAAGCAGGCTTCTGAATATACAATTCATAATTTCCCAAGTATGAAATGAATAGTACATTTTTTCATTGAGTTTCCATTTAGTATTCCATGTAATTTTAAGGCGTCAGCTCTATTTAAGGTAATATAGGTCAATTGTTTGCTACTCTGTTCTCTACATTTAAGTCACCCCCATCCTTTTAGAAGTCGAATACCGTTGAACACCATCCAACCCGATAAAAATGTAAATTAATTCTAAATGGGTAGGGCTTCACCACTTAACTGAACAAGTTTGTTTGCCACTGTCACTGATGCTGAGTGTTTCTTGGTGTCAATAACAGGTAGTGGTCACGGGACATTTATTACCGTATATTTCCCACCATTTAAACTTCGCCACGACAGTATTTCAAGAGGAAATACCTCAATACAAAGCAGAATAACTTTGAAAAATAAACGTATATTCTATGCATTTGATAAATAACCTATATCTTTTCCCTACTGTTACTAGAAATTCCGACCCGGGTAAATAATAGTTTTGAGTTCTGATGTGCTGGTACGGCCGAGAGTGGGGAGAGTCCGCTCTCCCTCTCGAAATGCTCTCACATGGCCACGCGTATACAGCCTCTGCCAGGGAAGTCCTACTCACTGCCTTCTCGTGGTGGGGGTGTTGTTTACGAAAATGAGAGGACGAAAAGCGAATGTCCGGCGCTTTAACCGGATTCCAAATCAATGGTGCACATGGGCTCCGGTATCCTGCGGGAACAAATCGCGTATGAACCAATTGTTGGTCACCGGCTACCATAGGACTGCATCTCCTTACGATGCTCCATTGCCTTGTGGGTTAGACCATTTGGTCAAAGGCTCGGGGTGTGGCCCCCTAAGAAAACCATCTGCTTCGGTTTGGGCATCCGGGCAGTATCACAGCCCTCACACATATCGAATGAGATTTTTGTGGCGCATATGTATTTGGTGCCTCCTTGTACCAATGTCTTTGTGTTAAAATAAATAAATAAATAAATCTGATGTGCCTAGATATTCTCGAATGAGTAGTAATAGTAATCATGTATTGCATAAGTTTAGTCAGAATGGCGTCACAAACATAATGTGACAAGTGGAGTTTTTTCGTTCATTTTTAAGAACACAGTTTTGTGTGCAGATATTAATTTTATTATGTAGCAAACTAAAGAAAATATGAATTCTTCAGTATAGGAGTGGTTATCCGACCATAGAGCATGTCCTTAGATAATAAGCTTTTAGCTGTTGTGTCATGGATTCCAAAGCTCATTCAACTTCTGGAGCCAATGAGAAATTGAATAATATTGGGAACTAACTCGAAGTGGGTACTCTGATAACTTGATCTATAGATATACATCGAACTCCTAAGTTGTATATTTGATACTATTTAGATATTTTAACGTGACTGTCAGCATTCAGTGAGACTCCAGATGAATTTTCTGCAGTTCCTTCATGTGATCCATGTTGGCAGTCATTTTCGTGGATCTACCCATTCCGAAGCACTTTCTATAGCGAAGTCAAATTTCCTCCCTCTGGTAGAGCTTTAAAATCTCACAATTGTGACTATGAAGTATTCGCTACAAAATAGAAATCTGTCTTTAATTGCAGGTGAATGACTACCACATTCATGAAGCAACTCACCAGATACTTTTGCAACGTATTTTTGTGTACGGGTCATTTAAGTATTCAGATAGTATGTACAGAAAATCTTAAACTTGTGATGGTCGAGTGCTTGAATCCGAAAATTATAAGTCTACAATAAATAGGAGAAAACAATTTCACCTATAGCTCTTTGATACTTTCCAGTACATATTTGTTATCTGGTCATAATTAGTTGAAGGATATCAATATTAAAATGTAGTCTTTGCTGAAAAACCATGTAAATAAAAACGTCCCTATATGGATTCAGTTTCAGAATTGTCATCCAGCAAATAGGATGGTTGACCATAGATCTTAACGCTGCAGTGGGACACATTTTATCGGTGTTAAAGACGCTGAGTAAGTGTGGAACTAAGATTTAAAATTCTGTTTGCTTTCCAGGACCCGGTTCTATAAATATTTGTTGCTAAGCTAACGATTGTTAACAAGTTGTAGGGCTCAAACATACATCAATGTTTATTACATCTTTTTTACAGAAAACTTCATCTAGGCGTGCGTTTGGCTGGATTGATTATTGTTGTAAATTAAGGAGTTACTGTAGCAGAATGTTACATTGTATCAAATTCACAAATACATCTTTGGCAAGTTATACTTTTTATTGTATAAATTTACATCTAGTCTTCTGAAGAGGATTTAGAGGAAGTTTTTGAACCGTATTCGAAAATCCCATGCACCACGTAAATTACCTTTTTTTCTTATAGAGGATAATGAAAGCTTAAGCATTTCAGCATTAAAAACATTAACTAAACGTGAAGTAATGAAAGACACTGTTAATATTGAGGACTCATTAATCTCATTGGATATTCATATGGATTCAAACTTGTTCAGTAACATTTACAGACTGGCGTATGATAAGAGCGGTATTATACAGATCATTCAACAGGTGCAAACAGATTACCAGGTTAGGTTTACAAAGAATATCTTTTTTTAGTGAGAATTTCATAATCCTCTTTACTTAGTAATGACTACTATGAACATAGGAAGTCTATTCTGTGCTAAACTTGAAAATGACTCACAGCATACCTGTTTATTAGTTGTTTTCTTTCATCAGTATACACTCCTAACCTATTTCATGGTTGCATCCATCTAATTACTTGTTGGGTTCTTTGGTTTTTGCATTTCATCAAACTAACTTCCAAATATCTTTGCCATTTATTTGTGGTTACGGGATTTAGAGTGGAGCGATAGATTAACGGCTAAAGTACTTGGCTTTCATTCAGTAGAATACTAGTAATGAACAGAGAGATTCCTAGAATTTCTATCCTTCGAAGTTAAACTTTGCAGAGTCAGCTTGTTAATTATTTTTATTAAAAAAAATAGATTATCAAAGAAAACATCAGAAATTACTGGTTTCGAGCTGTTAGTTGATACACATATATCACCTATAATTTGGTGTTAATTTGCGTTATTGTCCGACTATTAATATATGTTTGACAAACTTATTCTAGCTCGTCAGTTTTTATATTTAGTAGGAACTGTGCATTTTCATACCATGTATACGCCTCTATTTCGGATTGTTTCTAATTTAACCAAGCAGTTACTTCATCTTCTAAAGGTATTGAGGACATATTTACTCACTAGTATTCATAATTGAGCACGGTCAGCTAAAGCACTGGGATAGTAACTATACTTCAGCAACTATGCTGGAACTGTTTTCATATCATTTTCCTCATAGTTATACTTTTTCTAAAGAAAAATATAACTACTTGTTTAAAATCGTTTTTAATTACTTATAGGATCTAAATAAAGCAGATAATAAAAACTTACCCAGTCTTGCCAACATTCAACAACATTTACTTAAATTGTCATCAGTTTTTATTACTTTGGATACTTTGAGGCGATTCAGTGACGAAATACCACTTGAACAACTCCAAACACCAGGTATATATACCGGGAAATCTCCATATGTGTTTAAAACTTTTTGTTATAACAAAATTGGTACATTTTATTGTTAAGTGCCCGGGAGACCATGTACACATTCGTTAACCGACCGATCGGATAATAAAATGTTCTTGCGATATATATGTCTATAATCATAGTAATACTTTTTTCTAGGCGATTAATCCATTACCGTAAAAAGTATTTTTTTAAATCAATTTCCAGTAAAATAGATTACTAACCTTTTTTAGATTATTTGCACACTACGACTCTCCTGACTCATCGCTACCAATCGTAACTACCTAAAACATATAATAGTGTATTTATCACTGATAGTTGACGAATGTTTTATATTTAGTGAGAGAATTACAAATTTAGGTGGTAGGTATTTACATGATTTATAGATTTCCTTCACTCAGCTTTACTCACTAACCTTGACTACTTGAGTTCGGAATATATATTTAAGTCATTTTGTGACAATCTTATACGAATTTTCTTCTTACTTTATCATCTGTTGTAAGTTAAATAGCTGTGCTATCTAACATTCAATAATTCTCCGTTCGTTGCTGATTCTTGGTGAAAATCATTCCATTATTTCATGTTTAACTAAAGGCGATTCGAAATTCCCCACTTTCCCGGTGTAATATTTATCAATGTTTATTTGAAAATCATACAGACTTGGAAACATGATGTATGCATAAATAATTGTCTGAGGTGCCGTCGCAGACATAGCTTACTAACAAGTTATAGAATACAAAAAGTATAGCTTTAGGGCTTTTTGACAATTGAATTTAAATACTAATAACTACTGATACTGTTACTATTTCTACTACTCTGGAATTTATCTTGATAATTTCATCTTGCTGTGCTAATATGGTATGGTAACTTGAACCGATGTGAAAATCTGCCGGGTTCTGTGTTACACGTGACTGGTTTAAAAGTATTGTGAATGTGTTCTCTGCTTGTTGCATACATGTAGAAATAACGTTGACCCCAATTAGGGAGTTCTGTACAATAAAAGCTTAGTAATCTTTACCATTACCAACATTTATTTAATCTGAGGGCTCTAACTTCAACCGGCTCATTGTAACAATGATTGGTTCGTTGTTAATAAAACTTTGTGCAGTCGATATCGAGATGAGAAAAATATCCATCACCTTTGGTTCGCTGCACCAATTGTTTGAAAGAACTACATCCAAGTTTTTTGAAGCAAACATCATTCGTTTAAGTAAATACCACCAACGCCAAAAAACTACAACACTGTCATGATATAATTAATAACAATGTCTAACGGTAAAATAGAATTCTCGAGCGTTTTTTAAGCTACGAACTTATCATTCCTCAGCATTTGAGAAGGTCGCGTAATATGAGATACTGAAGGGGTTAAACCTGTTTGTAAACAGCGCACCCTGTATGTTTTACGCGCTAAACATGTTAACTTCATTGTTTAGAAATTGACAGCCAGGTGAAAACATTGATAGATGCAGCTTCAAATTATGCAGAATAATTGATTTTCATAAGAGCATTTTCTTTATTTTGATATCATAACAAGTAAGAGAAATAAACGTCTGGATTGCACTAGCATCTTTTCGGGTGTCGAAATTCCTTTTCAGTAAGCAAATGTGTAATTAACTTATCGTATCATCCGTTCAATACTACTGTTTTGGTTTTCACTATTCTAGTAATTTTAGCCGATAGTAAGGGATTGAAACATACGCCCATAATTAGTGGTAATGAAAACGCTGATATGAATTGTGAACGAAAAGGAAGAAAATTAGTTGACAAATGTTGCTTTGAACAATTTTGTGGGCCATCACCCTCAACATCAACGTGTACACCTGTCCCTGAAGGTATATATTTTCTTTTTAAAGTATCTATAAAAACTTGGTTTTATCACTAAGGAGTAATACATTTAACTACTCAGACGTTCAAAGATTATCATCTGTAAATCCAGATAGTTATACAACTGTTATATTAAGTAATAATGTCTATTTATAGAGCACTGTTACAAATAAAGTAGCTAATTTCGACAGAGTAATACTCGAAAGACATGAAGTTGATTTCCTCAACTCATATAAATTAAACTCTTCTAAATTACTGAACAAAAGTGCACACAAATGATCTGTGTTTACGGATTTTTAAAACATATCAGTTAAAATTGATGGTCTCATCAACGTAATTACATCTATAGCATTAATATTCGTTTTTAATATGCCAATATGACTTAGTATTCAACCTGATTTTAACTGACCATAATTTATTTTGATTGAGTGGATGACTCAATTTGTTCGTATCTTTTTCCAGAAAAAAAGAAAGTTCGGAAGTATATAATCCGTCTTCCGAAAGAGGAATGGAAATCACACAAAACACCTTGGACAATTGAAGAATCTATAGCATTATGGCATGGAGTAATGTATGCTCCTGGTTCGAAAAGTTGGTCTCAAATCTGGCATCAATCCTTTCGACATAGTAATCGTAGTCAAGTAAATTTAAAAGACCGGTGGCGTGTAATAGATAATAGTGAAACTATTAAAAATGTAATTCGACAGGCGTATATTAGTTGGACATCACAGTTTACAAATGGAAAAGGCAGTCCAATCAAATATAATCATTTACCAATGCCAATTATTGTACGTACCTGTCAATCAACTTAACCTTTGTATTTTCTGAATCTTAACATACTAAATGTGCAATATATACAAATATTTTGTTAAATTCAAATTTTCCATCATCATTAAAAATCCATATTTTTCGGTGAGGGAAAAGAAACAAAATTGTTCTTATTAACGTTTCGCTACTTACTAACTTATTAACTTTATCAAAGTAATAGTAAACCGGGATCTATAAAAATCTCAGCTTTGATTGGTAACTCGTCAAGGTTGTTTTGCGCGAATAAATTTTTGCTGCCAAGTAAATGAATTGATACAGGCAACAGACAGGTGTAGATTATTTGATTTGATAAGTGTACGAACTCTAAAAACAAAGTGTGTTGAAGTGATTTTCTTTTCACACACGTTGATAGTATTAGTCTGAGGGGGTAGGGTAGGCCTCAACATACAGAATGAAATAACCAGGATTCTAAAATACAACAGTGAGCACCAACCAAACCACACTTGGTGGAGTTCCGGAAGATGTAGGAACTCACGTACCTAGGCGACATCATCTATAGGCATTGGGAATCTGCAGATGTGAAAGCACGGATTGGTGGAGGAATGGAAGCGTTCCTACAGTTAAAAAACATCTGGAATTCAGAATAACTGTCAGAATTTTCAATAACAAATGTTACGACACCAAATTCATAGAAGTAGTTACTTCAATGCTAGGAACATATAAAAGAAAGGTTGTGTATAAAAATATTATACAGGAAGGAAGAATTAGTTCGTAGAAAGAAAGGTATAAAGTAATTTTAATCTCATAGTTCAAGGGAAGACAAAGAGTGCATACACCTGTGTCATTGTGATCCGTCCTGATCCATGTCACACATCCAACCATTGGTCACAATAGTCACGCGGACCGCAACCAAGTAGTCTGAATCTAACAACATAGCTCAAACTAGAAGTTAGTGATTTCAAGGACTGATTCCACGTTCTAGTTCGGTCGCCACTTGCTTCCGACCACCTCCAACACTAATCAGGATTGCGCGCCGTGAATTTTCGAATATGTGTATTTCGTACAATCGTGATTGGAAAGCGAAGCAAAACGAGATGACGCACAATAGAGAAGGCGAGTCAGTGAAGTGTGAATCTATATTTATAGTCGAACAAAAATAAGTTACAGACATGTGATGAGTAAGATAAGAAATGCACTCACATACGCTTACATAGAAACAGTCAAGGTTAATAAGCGACAGGGTAAAATGTGGTTTGAGAAGAATAGATAAATTGATCTATCCAGAGGCTCGGACAACCTACGTGGGCTTGAAATAGTATCAGCCCCTACAGGTGACACAGGGAAATCCATCGCAGCTTCAATGGTCTGTGTATATGAGTTTCCTTTAAACGCAAGTTAATTGATTTCTAAACAGAAGTTTAAGGTCTCGACGATCTCACTGGTACTCAATAATCATCCTGACACAGTTGTGTTCAGTTGTAGCTAACCAAAAAGTACTAAGACTTGATAGTCGGGATGCTAGCATATTGTGAGTTGACGCCATGACTTATCGTGATTTCGTTGTCACGTTTCTGGTTTCTCAATTCGATTTAAACAGCGATGAGTCTTTAATAATATGTTGTGTATGGAGAGTTTTTAATATTGGAGATAGGTATTTGAAGAGAAGGTATGGAAGAGAAATAAAAGCTCGAGAAAGCAAGTTTCTTCTGTCCCACGTCCTCCGAATGGCAGTGAGAAAGAAACGCCTAGAAAGCCTAGTCGCAAGCCCAGGTCTTTTTCTAGCAGGAAAGCAAAAACACAAATACTCAAGTTATCGATATTCATCCAGAGCCCCACAATGTATGTAAAACGACTGTGATCACTACTCCAATGAAAGTTGATAGATGAGTACAGATCAAGAATAAGAAAAGATGTAATGTCGCTAAAGAAAAGCCATTCCCCCAAACAGTAGCAGAGAAATTGAAGACTGACCATAGTGACAGGTTAGTTGTCTTTCATTGAGCCAAGGAGAGCGAAAGCTCAGAACCTAGGACTCGTTTCCAGCATGACACTGAGTTTATAAAAAAAGCTACTAAACCAGCTAATGCCTCAGGATATATCTAAAGTCACTTTGCTAAGTTTTTATATACAAGGCAGTCGAATGGCCTTAATACAGAATCAAGTCCATGGCTGTTAAAATTAGTATTGAGATCTCCCAACGTAAGGGGCCTTAATACTACAGAATGGACGTAAACTGGAGGGGTCAATGGTTTTTGTCCGTAAAGACTCGCCGATCGCGGACCGCATAAAAAGACGATAAGCTGAAAAAGAGCCGAAACTAGGGTCGGAAGCTGACAAGAAGGACCTTGGTATTATAAATTTTCGGATGTGTTGAGGTTTCGACAAAGAATGATGACGAAGCCACTTTGGGTGCATCATGAAGCAATTGAGTCGGTCTTCTGTTCTGTTGCATAAATGCCTGGAGCTCGCTCAACAAGAGATCGGAGCTAAATGTATAGATAAACTCTACCAATCCGGATGCAATCGCAGTCACGGAAACTTGATAGTTTCGCATTAGGAAGAGCCAACAGAACCCAGAAGTATAAGGGAGGAACAGTAGCTATTAATCAGAAATACTATCCCATATACCGTTATTGATAACATATCCCATGAAAGTGTGATGCTCGAATTAGTTAGTTGCCGCTTGAAATGGAAAGGGCAAGAACTGCTGATTGATTTGGTCTGTTGCGGTCCAATCTACGAGGTAAATGAGGCCTTGTTGGACAGTCTCAACACTTGGTGATCAAGTGGTCGACGTTAAATTTTAGGAGGCTTTAATGCACATACGATGGGCTTGAAAAATCTGAGGACTGAATTGTCACAAAATTCTTTCGAACAAAAACTAGTTGCTGAGGTTATCACGTATGCCCTAGTGCAACATGTGGGAGAAGCGACTAGGTGCGGCCCGGACTCTGAATCACTCTATAGCGGTAAATAAATCCCCAAAATAAATAGCTCTGTAAGCCTTCGACATTGGATCCTGACCATATCAGTTTTAATGGAATCGCCTAGCTGATGAAGGCGCCCGGTCATGCATCCGCACCAGATGACGAGTAGGAATGCTGTGGTCAACTTCTCGTGTAATCGCTAGCCAGTCTAGATCAGTCGATCCTCGATATATTGAGAGCCTATCAAATATATCTTCGAACCTCCTCGCTTCTGTCTCTTGATTTCATTTTGTGGGTACGATTCATAATAGGAGGTGTTACTGGTCAAAGAGTTGTCAAACCGCAAATGCCTGTGGCATCTTCAATCCTTACTAGATCTCATATTAGCCCATTATGAGAATGACTTCACAAACTCCACTATATGTCATCCCTGGACAGAAATGATTATGCAGATCTAGCCTTTGATTTCCATTTGGATGTCAATAACGAAGATATGTCATCCCAAGCTAGACCAAACATCTGGAGAACAAATATAAAAAGTATTATGCACTCGGCATCTTCAGTAGATTACACAATAGAACCGGAGTCCTCCATTGAAACGGCTTGGTATGTGTTCGGAAATTCGTGCATAAAGTCACTGCACCGCACATCCCTTGAACTACACTAAAGTGTCCGAGAAACTCTTCACCGTGGTTCAGTAGAGAGGTTTGTAATTGCGTTAGTTCCTAACCACACGATCCTTGAAGCGGAACATATAACTGCTGAGAAGCTTGACATTCAACATGTAACACTTGGAGGAGGTCAGTAAGGGTGAACACAGGAACAATGATTTCGAACAGCATGACTTGGCCGTGAAGGCGTAGTCACTCTGTCTAAAACCTGTCGCGTTCTGTGTTGAATATATTACACTCTACTCAGTCCAAATGTGTTGGATGTTATATCTCTGATTTTTGCAATAGGAAGATTCAGTGTAGACAATTGTGTGACGTTCACGTAAGATCTTATAGATTAGGTTTTCACATCATAGCGTATCTACAATTTAGGGGTTAGGTTTATTATCATTGTAGCAAAGGCAAATGTACTAATAACGAATTGATAAGATCGATTGAAGATGCTGTGAATTGATTAGTACTCGATGCTAATAACTGATAATTTATGTTTATGAATAGCTATAGTGGTTCATTAACAACCTTTAAAAGTACTTACCTGCTTTAGTGAAATAGGTTTGTTAAAGCATCAACCACTGGTAAATATGGCCCTTAGTCGACGTAGTCGAAGACTGGATATTTATCTGGATCTAAATTTTCATCTTGTTTTCCCATTTAACACCTTAATCTATTTTAAACTATGGTCTATCCTTGATGTAGCATAGCAATAACAACCACAAAAGGAATGAAAATACGGTTATTCAAAGTTCTGGTTTTCTAATAATAATAATAATAATAATAATAATAATAATAATAATAATAATAATAATAATAATAATAATAATAATAATAATAATAATAATAATAATGTGCAAAACTGTTAATAAACCCACAAAATTTTTTTATTTTAAAGAAAACTGACAAAACGAGTAATTGTGGAAAAATATGATTAATTATATACACGTTTTCAAAAAATCTAGTAGATTTTATTGGGAAATCGGGTGAATTTGTAGCGCGGCGTCGAGTCGCGGTTGACTATGAACACCGCTACAGAGAAACACGTGCCAAATAAATCCATAAAATCCCCCGGAAGCCAAATATCAGAAGGCAGTTCATGGACCAAATCGAGATCTATTTGCTGGTGATCTCGTGGTATCGAAAGGATACCGAGATCGTGCCAGAATACAAGCTTGGTTACTGAGCGTAACCGAATTCGCGCGAGGCCACAATCAAACTGTAAGAATAATAATAATAGATGCTTTTAGCACAGTTAAACAAAGAGCACATTAAACAAGCACAGGTACAATTGGTTATAATAATAATAATTGTTTTCAATAAACCAATCGTGTTCTCGTGATAAAAGTGAGTCACTACAACTTTAACAGTGTAGTACATCGATAATTGTTTGTTCTGATTTTTTGTATTTGGCAAAATGTACATAGCGTTTGGGTTTCTTTACAGTCCTGCCTGAACGTGCTAAACAAGTACGTTTGGTACTCGGTTTTTCATCCCCCTCTGCTCAAGTAGTGATCGGTGGGAGGGGTTGATTAAGTGCCACGTTACCTTCTTTGCCTAGTTGAGCTACGTAGAAAGCAGGTTTTTTCCTATCGATAGCGATAGCCTCCTTCTTTCCGCACTTGTTCATTATGAAGTGTTTGTTTGTTCT